CATTCGACCTTATCAAATAAGTACTGAATGTAAAGAAAACACCACCTATGTAATTTACCTTTACCTTACAGATGGTGCTGCTGAATAAAAAAAAAAAATCCTACTGGTTTTGTACAACTTGCACTTTCTTTTGTTCCTCTTTAAACTCTTGTATGCTCTTGCGTAGTTGCAGTAACAACACTACAGTGACTGAAACAAACTGAAAAAAAGTTGTGACACATTTAATACAGTTTGCAATCCCTATCTCATTACCATTTTGGTTTGCTGTAAGAGTCAAAAGACAACTTGCTGAATGTGTTATGATTGCTTCCCCACGGAGAGGTGAGGGTGCAAGGAAAACGAACCCAGAGAACTGACTTCGGTGCAAACGGATTTAATAAAGTGCTGTACAAGATATTAACAGTGCAGTGAAAATGATATATACAAAAACAAAGAGGGATGTAAGTGGAATCGGGTGTCAACCAGCGAAGTGAAACAGTCACTACAGGGTAGGGGACGATGGACCGGGCTGCGGACAAAAGGTCGGCTGCTGGCCGATGGTGGTGGTATGGCTGAGGAGACAGAGGAGATGATGGTCGTGAGCGGAGAAAGTAGTTGGACTGTGTACCGACCGACCTGGCTGGAAGGGCTAGGTGTAGTATGGTCCGGAGAGAGTTGTCCATGGCTGCGGTGGTGAGAAGGAGTTGGCTGGGCGTAGCGAGGGACTCAGCTGGCAGGGAAACAGTCCAGGAGGCAAACACTAAAACTAAGCGAGATATTATGGGATGGCAGGTAGTGATGGCCCTTTGACACTCGAGGCTCTGACACATGCTCGGTAGCTCATAAAGCAATTGTTTGGAACCACTGTGCCGAGGCGTGTTTTGGTCACGTGACTAGTGACGTTTGAATCACTTGAGTGACATCCGAAGCAGTTGGGTTCGTCGGACGTCATTGGTTCAGTTTGTCATGTGAATCACTTTGGATTGAGTGTGTTCAGAGATAGGATATCCCTATTTAGTGGCGTTCATTTGAATCTGTCTTTGCAGAGCAGGTTGGTTTGTTGCTGTTGTTGCGTTAGTTGCTTTGAGAGGTAGTGTTGTAGACGGAGCCAGAGGTGGCACCGCGCGTTCCCGCGTACTGCGAACAGGCCTGCCACCGCTGGAGCGAACCTGTCCCACAGTGTCTGAACGAGAGATGGATTCAGCCTCCACTTGCTTGCCCTTCCCTGGTTCACCTGGGTCCGCTATCTTGAGTCCAACCCCAGTTCTCCCTCACCCTCCTGGTGAGGGGGACTAACCATAACAGAATGTTCCACTCAGCTGGCTCAGGTGCTAGCTTTCCCACATCTCCATTCCCCAGCCATAGTATGACTCGGCCCCGGTCACACTTTCCTGACACCTACCTCAGCCCCGCAGAAGCCCAGGACATTTACCACCAGTTAAAAGACCAAATGTTTTCCCCTTTTTCTTTCCCTGAGGCTGCACCCAAGTCCGCACCTCCACAGACTGTTTTGCCCTCCATGCGCCTCGGTTCTTTTTTTTTGTCTCCTGTCTCCGAGCCCGCGCCTGTCCCCACCTGTTTTTCCTCCTCGACATACACTGGTACTTGGTTGGTCATCTGTCCCGGTGGTCCTGGAGGAAGGTGGAGCAGGAGGGCGAACCGACGCCAGTCACAACCCCAG